CCCCCCCACCCCCACACACACACACTCACACGACTTTAATAAATAAACAGCATGTCAGATCTCTTGTTAGAAGAAAATCATGTAAATGAAATTAATTAAAGAAATACATATAATTAACTTTTTATTTTACAAACAAACATAAACATTTATAGAATAGAATGCACGTATCACAATGATTAGAATAAAAGAAATGTATGTGAGAATTAATAATATAAATAATACGAGCTGATCACAAAACAATCACATCATGTATAATTAGAAAATTTCAAAGTAGAAACAAATTAAACTAAAACTAATTTCTAAATATTTTTCTTTCTTGCCTTTTTCGCTGCAACTTTATCAATGATTTCTTCGTTGCTAATTTGATTTGTAATTTCGTCTTCAATATATGGCAGAGCCAAAGTGATTAATTTTTATTGTGAGAGATTGCTGTAGGTACAACCAACTATCGTTCATTTTCTGTAATACAGTTTTTATGTTTCAGGGGTTAAAATTTGTCTTTTTGATACGAGTTCTTAGAACCACTCACAGGACCTATAAATGAATCATTCATTTAGATTGTTTGTTTTTGAATTTCGCGCAAAGATACACGAGGGCTATTTGCGCTAGCCGTTCCTAATTTAGTAGTGTAAGACTAGAGGAAAGGCAGCTAGTCATCACCACCCACCGCCAACTCTTGGGCTACTCTTTTACCAACGAATAGTGGGATTGACCGTCCATTATAACGCCCCCACGGCTGAAAGGGCGAGCATGTTTGGTGGGACGGGGATTCGAACCCGCGACCCTCAGATTGTGAGTCGAGCACCCTAACCACCTGGCCATGCCGGGCCCGTTCATTTAGAAATAATAATAAAATGAATAAAACCTATTCAAAAAATGTACCCAATAAAAAGTACATAAAAATATATTTACAATATTACCTAAATCTTTACGAAATAAATGTTTTAAAGTAAACCCGTTAGAATCTACCGAATATACAGACTTGAGGAAATCACAATTTATTATAAATGGCGTATTCATAAAATCCTTTTTTTAAAGAAAATACAAAGTGATGAATTAAAGGTGGGAATTATTTCACTCCTGTATACAAAGCCCGTTGATTAAAAAAGTATTTTCTTTCTCTATACACTTTACGTTTTGTACTTATTATATTAAAGAAATTCGAATCATTTAACAGTGTATGTTGTTTCTGATGTAAAACTGTGCTATGAATCACTCTATGATATTCCCTAACTGTAAAGGATTCCCTTGAACCTGTAATGCAATATTTCTTTCATGAACATTAGTCTATTTGCCCTCTAACAATAAACGGCTAGTCGCCACTCCTATACAGTAACATACTGAAACAAAAGTAGCAAAGAGTGTTAGATAATGTTTATATTATTTCCTAAGTAAAGTAACAAGAAAATAGCTTTTAAATAGTTAATTTATCCGTAATATCACATTGGAAATCTCATTTTTAAAATAGAGAACTAAAATCATTATGAAATAACAATAACATTAATTTTTCACAGCTGTAATGTAGTGACAAGACTTGAACTGATAGGTACCGAACGATAGTTAGTTAGGATTTATTTCACTTAGTTTTTACTTGAGAAGAAAACCCCAAAAAACAGAAGTTATGTACGAAACATCCTTTTGACTTACAAGTTGCTAACATTGATTCTATGTAAGAAAATATTACCTCGTTATTATCCCATATTGTAACAGAGAGTTAAATAGATTGACACACAAGTATGTATGTATGTGTATATATATATATATATAGAGAGAGAGAGAGAATAGCGAAAGGACAGAAACATTTATAGAAACGGACTTTTTACACATGCAACATCAATGCACACGTCACTAAATGTCGAGTTTTAAATGATTTATGTTTGAATGTTCAAGTGGGACAAATTTTATGCGGGTAGTGAATTTACAGCTTTCTGACTAGTAGTTTAGGCGTTATCTGAAACAGACTGACATACAGACAGTTAGCTTTGATCAAAAATATTTATATGAGCTTTCATTAAAGAAGGTGCTATGTACAATACCTTATTACACAGAGAAAATGAAGACATTTATTACAAGCTTTAAAAACGACATCCAATCTCTAAACTACAGTTATATAGATACACCCTCTAGCCATGAATAAGTTCTAATATACAAATATATATAATAACCTTAGTATGTCAACAAATATCTTAAAATAAAAGTTTTTTTTTCATAATAATTTACTTCATGAGCAAATCTTTCAAAGGAATATCTACAAAACATAAATTTTAAGTTAATGGGAAAAAATATACTGTATTAGATATAATTGAAAATTAAACAAATACAACACGTTGATGGAGCTTAGACTGATCTTAAAACTGTTTACTGTAGTTTTTTCCTGCTACACTTTATTCACATGTGACAACCATTAAGTTATTTTATTCTTCTTTTTAACTAGCTGTCTCAAACTTAATTCGACAACACAGTTTTGTGGCATATGGGCTGAGACAAACTTAAAGGATAGATAACATGACCTAATGTCATTGAAGCTTGTTTTGCTTTTTATGTAACTTGTGCTTTTTTTAATTATCAATTTTTAATTCGCGCCATTATCGTCAGCCGTCACCTCGGATTATCAACTCTGTATTGTGTCACGATTTGTTCAAGTGAAGATAAAAAATTACAACTGATATAATGTTACACTTCATTGATTGCCCTTTTTTTTTGTTCTGTCAGGGTTAAGGCAGTTGCAGCGGAAATTGCCGTTAATTCAGGAGGGCGCCACTAATGTTTACAATAGAAGTTCCATGTTAGAATGAGCCCTATGCAATCTCTCTTTTTATTTTTCTGGGCCCTCTCAGAAAACGTGACGAAGACGGAGTCTCGAGACCAATCAGAAGCACGTGTAACCTGTTTAGGAACAAGACTATACTCCTCAAGAGTCAGTGACTCAAATACCAGCTATGCATTCTCATAGCTCAGTTGTTTCTATATTCTAATACAGCTTAACACGCTAAAGAACAAAGTTTGTCTGTTGGTGCTAGCGTTTAGTGTTTAATGTCGAACCCATTCCAACTTAAAATCGATGTTCGCCCCATCTAGTGCTGGACCGTAGAACAATTTGAGTTATCTACCCAGTCAGCCAGTGGATGAAACCTGTCATGACGAACTTGACATCGGTGCGTGTCGTTGTTCTAGGAAGCAAGCATGTAGGTAAAACTGGTAAGTTGAAGTACACGACTAGGTTACGTTACGAGAGATTCATATCATACAAAGAAGCGTCAGTCGGTCTTCATAAACTTACTTTGCGCAACAGAGATGGCGCAGCTGAGTAACGAGGTGAATAATTCTGAATTTGATACATTGAAAGATATTCATAATAATTTATTCACTACACTATAAAAAAATACTCTAAAATTTACAGAATATACTATTAGATAAATATTATCCTTTTATTTGACAATGTTGAAATATATATAAATTTACAAATGTTCATAAAACGAAAACATTATACAATAGAAAGGTTGCGGTATCTTTTGATTAATAACCTGAGAAAATTGAATTGGAAATATAACAAAAGTTCCATTCCACACTTTTCAAAAGTAGGTACTTTTATCACTTGATAAAGAATAAAATGAACGCGTAGTCATGTCTGCATTACAATTTTGGAGTTTGTTCTAGCTAAAGATATATGTACACATATACATATGCGTATGTATGTGTTATGCAATTGTTTTTCATAGATTTTTAGTTACAAATAATATAAGGGAAAAAATATTTGAAAAGCCATAGGAAACTAACAAACACTATACTATTTGATCTAAGAGACGAAATATGCCCATATTTTTCATACACGTCCAACTGACATCATAGCTGTATTCAAATAACCAATTATAGTATTTTACACATTTCTGAGTATTGTTTTCTTGCTATTTCTATTGTAATTCGTTTGAGAAGTTATTCAATAATACTTTTTAATTATCTTTTAATTCAAATGTAAACTTCCATTCCGTAACACTTTTTGAATTGGAAACGTGTATTATTAAGCATGTGCTCAATGTGTAAGAGCGTTAATGAGTGTCACTGAAAATGAAACACTATATAGTAATGTATATATACAAATATACACTAAGGAATAATGATATTTGATCCAATTTTTCACCAATAAATTTCTCTAGTATACACTAGTTAAATAGATATTTATTTCAAAGGTTGATACCGCTTAAAGTTTTATACTTATGGTGGTGTTTTCTCATAAAAAAAAATGTTTGTCAAGCTGTTTTTTTTTTTTAGAATTCTCAGAAACAAATATGCATATATGTATATCAGTCAATTCATGGTTTCCTCCCCACTTTTGAGGGTGGAAGGTTATATTTCTCCGTTGTTCTCTATTCCTCGCTGTTTGCGTTTCTCATCTTCAACCAATTTCTAGCCGTGGTATAGCGGCTTATAGAATGACTTTGAGTTTCTCATGTACAAACTTTTAGCACATAGTTCCGTCATCTCTTGGCCGATTTGAGATCTAATTATAGTTTGGGCTCAGGAGGTCAAACTCTTTCGATTGAAGTATTTGATCACACCCAAAGTCTCGTAGATTAATTTAATCTAATCCTGTCTGAAAGAATTTCAGTTTGAGGGTAGGCTATTAGATATCCTGATGAGTAATAAAATCGAATCGGATATACGCGCACTCCACTAGATATATAACTAATAAAAAGGAAAAAAGGCTCATAGATTAATTTACTCTAACCATACCTTAAAGAATTTCAATTGCTGCGGCTATTGAGGATTCCCTCTTGTTTGATTTAATCGAGCCAATGAGACTCTGCCTGCCTCTCGTTTTTTCTTCGAATTTACTCATAAGGATCTCTACCAATCCAAAAGTAGCGCATCGTCCGTTTTCTATATATATATATATAATAATAATTTTGCTTATCTAACATAGTTTTTGAGAGTTTGCAAGGCAATCCAATACAAGAATATTGAAGAACCTTTGACATAAACAGTGTCAGTATTGATCTTTATAGAATGTTTTGGAACAAGTTTTCCAAAAGCATTATGCGAAACGTTGAATCAAAATTAATGTAAAAGGCAAACAATTCAGGTTCAGTAATAACAAGTAAAAGTTAAAGATCATATAAACATCTGTTCTTTTCCTATGGTACAATTTAATGAAAAATGTTATTAATTATAGTTTGTGGATATTTTTACCCCAGAAAACTACATGTCTTTGTAACAGGTTTTGCATCACTAAATAATATTTAAGAATTAAATACCAAGAAATTAAAATGTAATTTGAATTTTTATTTATTTTTTTAGTACCTGCAAGTGCACACAATAAATGGACTTGTTTGTTTGTTTTTTAATTATGCACAAAGCTACATGAGGGCTATCTGTGCTCTGCCCACCATGAGTATGGAAACCCGGTTTCTAGCCATGTGAGTCCGCAGACATACCGCTGTGCCACTGGGTGGCATATAAATGGACTTAAACAATGCATTCGAAATACAAGAAAAGCTTTAATTTTTTTGTTTTTTACGTATGTTTTAATTTTTTCGAGTATCTCATTATTTTTACTCTTTCTAAACTGTGTTTATGCCAATTAATTTAAGTTAAAATTATTTACATTATGTAGGTTAAATTGTAATTTTGGAACAGTTTTAAATATGACTAAATTTCATGTCATTTGTTATAAGCTGCACTGAATAGGAGATGGACGCTATTTTTTATAGTAATGTTAAAATTTCTAGCCAGTAAGTGACATGAACCTTTCAGTTATTTAAAACATACATATGCGCATAAGCGCGTATATGATTGTATTTAGACTCAGATGAAAATATCAAAACATTTTTGCATAGTTAAATAAATGGCATAAAACAATTCATAAATTCTAGAAGTACTGTACTATAAAATGCCATTAACATTACACATTGCTCAGTATTTGAAACTTCTGAAGCTAAGATTTGTGATCAAACATCATAACCCTGACTTTGTCGAGGTGCGGAATGATAGTTGTATATATTATTTCAAACTTGAGTTTTACACCATACAGGGAAATAGTTTTTCACGAGCCAAAGTTAACTCTTTGAAGATGTAAAAAGATAACTTGGATAACTACTAAGAATCATCTATATTTTCTGAAACATGCATACTAACAGTTGATGATACTTATCATGTTGTTCTCTGATGTTTGTTACGTTACAAACGTACTATTTTGTTTGATTTCTACAAAATACTCGAGGTATTTATATCATTAGAAGAAGAAAAGAGTATTTCTCCACCTTTTTTTTTTTATAGCATTTAGTAAATACTTTCACGGTATATAATTTATCTTACTGAAAATAACTGTTCATGAATAAGTTGCTTTATTTTACAGAACACAACAGAAGATAATTTCTCGGTTTCCAAATTAAAAGATTGTGATCGTTTTAAAATGTATTACATATTATATTGTTGCGTATCTGCTTGTTTATGCATGGGTCTTCAATGTCTTCAAGCATACTTTCTGTCTGTCCTTTATGCCCATGAGCTCAATAGTTAACCACATTAGTCCCCACAACCTTGTATAATGTCCTGTCACACCACAGAGTTTCTGTATGGCTTCTGGTACTCCTTTGTGATCTAGCACCTTGATACTCACGAGGGTTTGCTGATATGCAGAATCTATGACAAAGTTGCACTTTTAGCCATCTAGCTTTCCTGTCACATAGACACTATGTGTGCTTGCCATTTTACACTTAGCTATTGGGACTTTCACAATGTGGTTGGAGGGTGTTCCTCGACACCAACCACTACT